ATTTCTGGAGATAAGAGATAATTAGGATTAAGAGACAAAATTTAAACTGTATATCTAATGAAGTTGCTCCTAAAGCCACAGGACAGAAGGAGGAAGCTAAAAAAGGATGCTGCTCTATTGCTACAACCCACCCATTACCCACAACCTACACAGACAAACATCAGCCACTGAGAGCATTTCCAAACTTAATTAGTTTTAAAAAAAAAAAAAAAACCACCAGACAGACATTGACTGTGACAAGAGCTGCCTCAATAAAGCTCAGGATTTCAGCCCTCCTTATTCTCAGTAGCCTGCAACAGACTGTAGCAATCGCCCTTGCGATTTTTAAGCAGAGAAGTGATATCATATATAAATCTAAAGGACCAATTAAATGGTGATACATCCTTATTAGAGACAGGAAAACTAAAGTAGCACAAATTATTGGAATTGTCCAGGACCCGTCACACAGAAGGAATAGGACTCAGTGCTCCCAATTTCAACACCTATGTGTCAGTCACAGTTTCAATGGCACAGAGAATATCTTCCATTAACAGTGATGTGACTCCTACACCATGGAGCCTGCACTAAAACTAACCTCTTATAAGACTGTGTACTTACAGAGAAAGAAAATCCTCTGTCTGACTAGCTACTTGTCCAGATAAGACTAAGCACCCTTGCCTTAAAACACAGCAGTGCATTGGCAGGTTCTGTTTCACACTCTCAAAAAAGCTAGCATAGCCTGATTTCTTTCACTCTTCCCTTTACCATCTGTTCTTACAGTGATATTTGAAAACCCTGCACACTGTAATCATTCAAGCCTTGTTTTCTGCTTAACTCTAATTAGAAATACATCCTCATAGCTAACAAGCAGCACCCCTATTTTAAATACCATCTTTCCCCCAAAGCAGAGCTGGGACAACCAGACAAAGCTCTCAGATGTTTTGCCATCACCCTGGGCAGATTCCCAATTTATTGAAAAGCCACCATTTTGGTAAAAAAGGAAAAAACATGGACACCTTCATAAAATCCTTGATTTCAAAAGGTAGCTTCTTGCAGGAGTTTAGGATCTCTGCAGTCTCCGCCTTCACTTCAATATCCCCCGTTGGCATTCTCTGGAGCAAGAAAGCAAGAAAAAAGTTAGATTCAAAACTTATGGAAAACAAATTGGACAAAGGCACAGATGGCTGGGGAAAAAAAGAAACCCATGTGATTATCCCCCCTGCCTTCTCACACAGTGTAACTCAGCTAACTTCTCTCAAGGACAGATTTCTCCTAGGTTTCCCTTCTGTTCAGAAAAACACAAGTCACCTCACCAAAGATGGCATGTTCTTTCCCAGTAGCATACTGATCCCTTCAAGAAGTAGAATTACTTTTCCTTTGCCTTCTCCTTGAACGACACGCTGAGCACAGAGAAACAGTCAGACACAGACCTTTCTAGGGCACATGCATTTGGACAAAATATTAGTTCCAGTAGCATCAATGAAACCACACAGTATACATTTTAGTGTGCATTAGCAGCATCACCATCAGTCCTTAATACAAGTCAAAAAAGGCAACTTGTGAGGAACTTCTCAGAACTTCCAGTTCTGAACACCAGTTCTCAGAAATAGTCTTTTTCTTAGATCCCAAGGGAGAACAGACAGCTTCCCCCACTTAGCACTGTGCCACATCAAAGTTCATTTGATCCTACAGAACTCTTCCTATTTATCAGGGGAAAAGTATATACAACCTTCCAACAAAGTGATAAATGATTAAAAGAAATAAAAGCATTGCTTGAAACCTGAATTCTTTATAGACACCTATAAACGGTCAGAGCAAAAAAGTTATGCTCATAAATCCAGGTTCCCTTTTTAGGCCTGCCAGTGATGGGATACATACATTCCTGACAGATTAATCTACAGCTGATTACAATGAGAGTTGATTAACATATAAGGTTAAAAAATTATTCAATGTCTGCTTCCTGTACAATGAGAAGAGCAAAATCTATTCTGAATGAGAAATAGGTCATTGCATGCTGTTGTGATGACAACACTTATTTTCAAGAAAGAGAAATTCCCAACCACACTTTGAAAGCCTGAAAAAGCTACCCGTCTTCCTTTCAAAGGGAATACAATTCAATTCATGGGTGTCTGTAGTGTGCTTTGAGGTTCTCCTAAGTTATGTGTCATAGCAGTTATTTCACCTCACATTATCCAAGGATAGGCTGTCACGCACCCAGAACCCACAGCAAGGCTAGGACACAAACCCCACCATAATCCTACTACCCAATGCTCTTTTCCACAAGGAATAAAACCCCTGAGACACCCCAACATCCTCACCGGATTCTCCTGCCCTGGGGGCCGAGCAGACACGATTCCAGTCACTCGCACAACAGACTCCACTGGGGCATTGGACAAGAGCGTCTTCACATGGGAATGTGCCTGCAAGATGACAACAATGTCTCACAGGAATTCAAAGAATAGTACAAATCCACCATGCTCAAGGGCCTTATTTCTTAACGGCCCATTTTGAATCTGGGATCACTCCCCATAAGCCAGAGGAAACAGCATTAATGTTTCTGTTGCAGTGTCAGATCAGGGCTCTCAGAACGCTTAAATCTACTTGTGAGTCTGACTTGTGAGTCCCAGTACTTCATTCTGCTCTCCATGTCTGCTGGACCCAAGCTACCAAAGGAAAAATAAAAATATTAGACACTCATATTTTGGTAGCACTTACCTCATCCTGTGGAATGAGAATCTGGGTCAGTCCCTGGAAATCCCTCAAAACCAGAAATAGGCCTTGTCTGATCCATGAAAAACACAAAAGGAAAAAGTTTTTTCAATAATTCAGTAGTCTTCTGCTTTTTAAGCCAAAGTACATGGCAACTAGCTACTTTCTGTACCTTGTGACTAATCTCAAAGCACTTTCAAGTAATGCATGTACAGAACTTTTCACATATCTGAATCTAATCTGAACAATTTGTTTCATATTTTGCCCAGCCACAGACAAACAATGTGCAAATAACCAGAAGAGGCAGGATTCTGACTCGAACATTAATTCATGTAGGGCAAGGATTCTGAACATGTGCGATTTCCTGCTGGGAAACATCGTTCAAACACATTTAGATGAGCAATAAAACTAAAGTTCACATGGCTACAAAAAAAAAATTCCAACCAAGAAGGAGAACACTGGTCCCATAAAAAGTTTCACACGAACAATCCACACTCCTAAACCCAGAATCATAAATCTTGATCTCTTCAGCTGCAGTAGAGACAGCTACCATTGTATTTGATCCACCAAGAAGCTGTCGAATGGAACATGCTCTGGCTGTCCTTAAAAGCAAGAGCACAATGAACTCATTGCTATAATCCTAACTCTGTTTCCTGGAACCCCACCCATGACTGTTCAAAGATGAGATGCTCTGGACCTCCGAAAAAAAAAAAAAAAAAAAAAATCCATGCAGACTATCACTGCAGAACAATGCTGGATAAAAACCAGCCCTGCTGGTAAACGCAAAATGCAACTTTCGATACAAATTAATGTCATCAAAGCCACAGGACCTATCTCCATTTTACAAGTACATACCCAGATCAGAACATTTTGGAGCATTGTTCATGCTGTATGCAGACATGATTTTCACCCCGCATTTAAAAAATTTACAACTCCATTAGGAGTGATTATATCACACCACCTATAGCAAAGCTTCCATACTTAAAAATTGCATCATTAGCTGCTGTAGTTGAAAAGACAAACAACATTGCTTGCCTAAAATTAAAGGACACTATATAAAAGACTGATTTGGTCACAGCTGTTAGAATTGCTATAAATATGCTATTATTTTTTTTTCTCTCCTATACAACAAGGGTAATAACATTTAACCACTTTACAGTACTGCAGTGAGGATCAATTAACATCTGTATGAAACTCTGAAGTTTTACATACTGATCTGGCACAGTTCTCGACTGTTCTACTCACTTCAGAAGTGACCACTGCAGGATACGAAAAAAATAACCTGAAGCATAAAAAAAAGTGTTTGAATCCAGGCCTAGAGAACACATTGGATCTGGCAAATAAGCATCTTAATTTTCACCTTGGTTTGCATCTACCTTTGGTACTGAATCCATCCATACAGTGTGACCTCTTGTCCCACATGAGCAGAACGCAGCTCTCCACAAGTGTTGGTCCGAGTGACAAAGCTATTGAGGTCTTGAGTAAAAACAAAAAAATTCTCTTGTGGCTTTTGCAGTCAAGCAAGACAAAGCAGTTACAGAGCTCCCCGAACACCAACATAATTTAGACAAATACGAAGAAATTACTCCATATATCCCCAATACAACTGCTGCAATACACTAGGACATAAATCTGACAGGAAATTATTCTAAACAAGTTTTTTTTAGGAGCTGTGTCTCAGTCAAACTTTCATACAGAAATACAAACACAGTCTTGCTGCAAGCTGTTGCCCTGCAAATTTCAGGGACAAGAGAAGGGAAAGCTACAGATCAGTCAGTCCCACAGCACGCTGACAATTCCACATCTGAATCTGGAAGACACAGCAAAAAGGGAGCTTGACAAGCCAAGACTGAAACATACTAGCACCCACCAAGTGGGTGTACATCGAAGTTTCCTGCCTGCAACTATTGGTAAAAGGCCTGAACCATGACTACAGGCAGCTTTCCACAGACCCCAGGGTGCCTGGCATCACGACTTTGTTATAGAACCAAGCACACTGGTTACAGAGCACGCCAGAATTTCAGCTTGCAAGGAGAAATCTGAAGGATGTTACTACCTAGACGTATATAGATGTGTATAAATATATGAACTAGCCTCCCTTGCTACCTTCATCACAGCCTGAAGGCTATAAAGAATAAAAGTAGAGGGCAAGAAGGTTTGTTTTCGTGTCAGGCATCCAGCTACCCCGTTTTTTTACGGATTGTGTGCTACAGAAAAAAAAAGAGGGGGAAAAAAAGCAAAGTAAAAGCTCAGAAAAAAATAAATTTAGACAAATTGGTTTTGATATACTTTGAATGATAATTGACTATGAGATGCCAAAAGTCAAATAAAAACATGGAGAAGACATTTAAAAAAAAAAAAAAATCCAGGGAAGACAATTTATCGTGAGTGTGCCTTTAGTCTCCTCTGCAGACTACCCTGACCTGGGTCCCAGGGAGGAAAAACAGCAACCAAAACCCAAAAGAGGCGGCGGCAGAGATGAGACAAGCGCTTCTTTC